CAATTACAGTGACCAGCAACCACAGAACAAGTTCTGATGTGCCACCGACGCTTGGTTCTTCGAGCCAACATCACTCGATGGAAGCAGTGCCACGAACTCACAGTTCAAACAAACGTCTTCGAAAAGATGATGTTAAGGACCAACATAATTATCAACATCATGATTCAGACTCAATCACCGAAAGTGAACCCTTTGTTAAAAAGCAACGTCTCAATGGCGAAAACATAAGTGGTAATTTAAATTTGCAAGTGCCTAGCCCCACATTTAAAGAAAGAATCTCTGATCAGTTTATGGAGTCTTCCACCGATCCTGATGATTCAGGGCCAAAGAAACGTGGTAGAAAAAAAGGCAGTAAGTCTATGAAGAAACAACCAATTTTAGAAGATCGTGTGAAAGAAAAACTAGCTAGTATCTCAAGAAATCCTAAATTAAAGACGACACAAGAATTGCTGGCTGATCTACGGGCACGCGGCACCAATTCTAGCATTAATTCAAGTGCTCTACCTAGTCAAAGTGTAGAATCATCCGGCATGGAAGATATTCTGAGAAGTAGCAACGAACAAGTATCAAAGTTCCTTCGTTGTCCTCAGAACAATTTGTCCCATAGAAATACAGTTTCTGAAGCTTCACCAGAAAGTCGGTTAAAGCCCACAGAAAACTGTAATGATGTACCATCTAAGTGTGAAGAATCAGGTGTAGTGTACAAAGAAAAATCAGTTACAAATGTTCAAAAAAGTCAACCAGAACAGTGTCAACCTCTAACAGTTGAAGAAATATTGGCCAAGTTACCACCTATAGATCCAAGTTCAATAGATTGGAGTGAGTGTGAAACTGAATTAACTGAAGATCAAAATAGTACTGAGTATCCACCTAGACAAGTTACTGCGGAGGACATAGAAAGGTTACATACACAGTGTGTAGAAGGACTGAATGGAAACTTCCAACCAAAACTATCGTCTTTAACTTCTACGTTTAATGAGAAGCCTGAAGTAAAGGAAGATGTGTCTGAAATCAATGGTGTAAACAATGTGTATAGCCAACCTGACGAAGAATTTCGAGAATGGCATCAGATGCTAGCAAGGCCCAGTTGCAATGGCCAGATCCTCCACATATTGCCTTATGTTATTATTGATTAGTAATTTTATTATCTTATTCTATTATTATCCTCAAACTTGTGAAGAATCCCTGCAAATATTAAAGAGATTGATCAATGATCAATCTATTAAACCGATTTCTATTGCAATTTATGATTGCTCTTTATTTCTATAAATGCTCACGTTACTACCACCCTTGTCATCATTATGATTCCCATTATTATTCAAATTAAAGCTGTCACTTTAATGGAGTAACTCAGTCATGCTACATATATGTAACTGGCAATCATTTTTAACGTAATTATCATTCTCGATGACGTTCTTTATCGTCACAATCATTAATTTTACTTTATCATTAGTGATCGTTTACTATTATAATCATCGCCGTCACTGTCATCATCTTTATCACCGTCATTGTCACCGTTATCATCTTCATTATCATTATCACAATTATCTTTATTATTATTATTGTTATTGTTGTTATTATTATTACTACTATTATTTCTATTATTATCATTCTCATCATTATTACTCATTATTGAAGACATCTCTCACACAGAATAGGAGCATAAAAAGCATATTTGGAAAAACCGAAAGTCATAAAGAGGGGCCTCTGACATAACATATAGCTCCAATGCCTGTGACAATGTGTCTGTACTTGAGTCCAAAAGGTACTTTTTGAATGCTTCTTTTTTGTCATACATATTGTATTATTACTATTAATATTATCATTGTCATTGGCATCAATACTACTTATATTATCGCTGTATTATAAATACAAAGAAAATCAATTTCAAATTACCGAACACGTAACAGAATTGGAATGTTGTTAAATGATTGTAAATGAAAGCACTTAGAACCACATGTAAATTAGTCTTTTTTTAAACTTATTATGAAATTTTTTACAAATACTTAAACTAAAAGACAGAGATCTAGAAGAAATAGTTTTTGTTTTTAAAATTTACATGGCTATTTATGTCAGACAATATAACGCAACTGATCACTTCCTATAAATTATATAAATTATTGAATTCTTTTGTTAAGAAAACAGAGGTATGTTTTCTTCACAACTTAAATCAAATAGTGCACTATGGCCTATGCATAGGATGAAAAATTATTTTGGAAGTTATATCCATAACAATATGAAGTATTAAAAAAAATGTATGAAAAATTAAGGGTAATCATCTTATTTGCTGTAAAATACCATTTGATTTGTTAGAACAACTATTATTTTAAGACATTCTTGAAGAATGATATTAGACAAAAAGTATAAGGAATAATTATGGCAAAATGTATAATTGTATCATGCTAAAATGCTGTAATATTTCAAATGCTTTTTGATATAATATTTTGTTTATCAATTTAAAATATTTATTGAAATGTACAGAAACCATCACTTAAATATAATATGAAAAATAATTTGGTAAAAGTAGTCGAACCGAATATAACGGGGCCTTAATTAAAATTTAAAAGTAAAAAGATATTTGTCTAATAAGGTATTATGTTGCATATACTTCTAGAGAAGATAATACAATTCGAGTATGTTGTAAATTTTCCTATCCCAATTTCATTTCGTATATTACAGTGCAGTAAAATGAAAGTAAAGATCTGAGAAAAAAGAATTTCCTGTTTTAGAAAAACTGCAGTATAAAAACATACACAACTATATTGACGGAAAAAACGCGATACGTGCAATGTTTAATGTTCCAGTGCAATGTTCTAAATATCTCAAAACTATAATTTTTTAAACAAAAGGAAGGGAAGAAAATTTAATTGTTTCTAAATGTAAATATGTCGTTTAAAAACATAAAACACTGGAACCAAAAATATATTAACATTTTCTGTAATAACCAAATAATATTATGTGTTATGTAAAAAAGAGGAAAACAAATGTACATATTATGCAACTATACCGTGTATAATGAAAGCTTTGTGAAACATTATGAATTAGAAAAGAAAATGTCTGATTTTATATGTGTTCATTTTTTGATGATAAATAATTACCTTTTGTTTGATTTCACTTAATTGCTTTACAAGCACTTGAACTTTATGCTAAACATTTTCTAACAATGAAACATTAATGAAAGATAAATCATAAGATCACCTATTGAAATTGTTTCCCTTTTGAATTGAGCATTACAACAGTAATGATTAGAAAGTAGTGAGATGTTTCCAAAACAATGTATGTGTATATACATTTTTATAGTTTCTTGTGTTACTTGTCCATTTATATTAATTAAAATGCCTTGCTTTACAAGTATATGATAAGTATTTTGTTTATACAGACATTTGTATACCTTTGTATTTAAGATGAAAGACACAAGTTAATATAATTAAATATTATAATACACATAGTAGTTTCAAGATTGTTTAAGTGATTGATTTTAATCATTTTAAAGCGTATAATTTGATTTTAGAGATTCATTTCATGTTATCTTGATAATTTATTTAATTTGTAGTTATATTAATTTTTTGATTAGTTACCCTGACCAGTTTAAGAAACTTTCGTTCTTGCTGTCGTAGTACAATTTAATTTTTCTAAACAATGTGTAGATATCATTTGTCACGAAATATCATCAGATTCGATTACTTAGATGGATTTTAAACAAATCTCAATTTACATCAAGCTATATGTTCTACTAAACGTTACAATTGCAGAGCTTGTGATGCGTTTTATTACGTAATACATCGATAGCAATTTAATTACAAAATAATAAATAAAATGAATTCTGTTCGAAGAATAAAAAAACAGTTTGATCGCTCGACGATTCTTTATAATACGATAATCGATTGTAAAGGGAGTTCTATATTTCTATAAAGATGCGCTTCTTTCACCGCAGTATTTTCATTTAAGTATTTAGCAG